AACAGGAATAAAGCTACTCTCCAGGAGCCAACGCTACCTAGAGCTCGAGAGCAAAAGTTCTCTCCAACACAGCAGACAACGAAAACTAGATACTTATTATTACAGAACCATATCAGAAGGAAAAGGAACAACGACAGATATCTTCACTGATCGCCCCCTCATGCTCCCCTCCCACAACTCACTTCCAAGCGATCCTCATCAGTTCTCCACGTCGCTTGTCCAACAGAAGGATGCACCTTTGCAGCAGGGTTGCTTGAGCATCGTCGCAGAGAACCTTCCACTGGTGCAAATAACGACTTAGTTTTGCAAGAATGCAGTTCACGTTTCTCCATTTCTGCCCCTGAAAACAAAACTTGTTTCTTAGTCTCCACAAGCTCCACAAGGAAGCAGCAATAACCATATTAAGCACAGGCTTTTTTTATGTACTCGCCAGAAAGCAAAAATATCGTCAAAGCTATTAATTTTATCAATCTCAAAGAAGTCGGAAACAAAGCCCCAAACATGTTGTGCCACCACACAGTCAAACATTAAATGTTGCACAGATTCGAACTCCGCACAGAAAAGACAGGAAGGGTCCTCCAACTCCCTCCTTTTAGCAAGGTTATCCCTAGTCAGGATTTTGTTATGAGCACACAACCACAAGAACACATGAATTTTCCGAGGGCACATAATTTTCCAAAGATCATCTTTAATAGCAGAAGCTATCCCCCCAAAGTTGATGCTTTTGTAGAAGGATTTCACAGAGTACAAACCATTAGATTCCAAGGACCAACTTGGCATATCGGGTTCATCTGATAGGGTATATTGCTGAACAACCCTCAACAATAGTTCCCATCTATCAAGTCCACTTTGGTCAACGCATCTCCTAAAAGTTATCTTTAGTTCACGCCCGTCCCACACCTGAGCCACGGTACACTCCGTTTGGTTACAAATACAATATAAATCCCAAAATTGTACCTTCAGGGAACATTCCCCGACCCAGGTATCGTGCCAGAAGCTAATTAACTCACCATTCCCCAATCTCCACCTGTAAAAGTTTTTCGCAGCAGCTAACGCCCAGGTGATGCTCTTCCAGAAGGTAGAACCACCATCACCTTTTGCGCAGAGTAGGTTAGGAGCATTCACTCTATATTTGTAACGTATGATTTTTTTTCCAGTCTGAATCAGATTCATCAAAGAACCTTTTGCCCCAGGAAGCTAGCAAGGCCATATTGTATTCTTTGATGTTAGGAATCCCCAAATCTCCATACTCTTTTCTCCTAGTAACATAACCCCAATTAGCTAGGTGGTATTTGTGTTGGTCCCCAATATTACCCCAAAAGAAGTGTGCCATTTGAGAATTGATGGCATTAATTGCCCACTTTGGAAATTTAATGACAGACATGAGATAAGCAGGTATGCTGATCAAGCATGCACAAAGCAAAATAATCTTGCCTCTATATGTGAGATATCTCCCTAGCCATCCAGAAATGCCCTTAATAATTCTGTCAATAATGGGCTGAAGATCTTCCCTCCTCAATTTGTCACAGTTCAAAGGCACACCTAGCAGCCTTTTTTACAACAGAAAATCTGGGCAAAGTCATTAGCCACTACCTCATCAATATTGATGGTCATTAAGTCACTTTTATGAAAATTAATTTTCATCCCAGAGAGGGATTCAAAACATGACAAAAACCATTTGAAGTTTCTGGCTTTGTGAACCGAGTTCTCCAAAAAAAAGGAGAGTGTCGTCTGCATACTGTTGACTCACTACACCCCCTGGAATTATATTGGGCAGAAGCCCAGAGATTAGGTCTTGGGAGGCAGCTTTTTTTAGCATTTTTGTAAACACATCAGCTACTAAGTTAAACAACAAGGGGGAGTGTGGATCTCCTTGCTTAAGCCCTTTCCCTCCAACAAAATAGTTCCCATTAGTATCATTAATTCTCACAGCTAAAGTACTGTTAATTAATGTACATTTGATCCACGCAATCCACTTGGGGCAAAAACCCCTAGATTGTAACATTTCAAATAAGAATTCCCAGTTAACCCGGTCGTACGCTTTTTCATAATCCAACTTAAGCACCAAGCCTTGAGAACCAGATTTTTTGACCTCATGAATTACTTCATGTGCCATAACAACACTTTCTAATATATATCTCCCTTTAATAAAGGCTGTTTGGTTCGGAGAGATTAATCTACG